AATGTTTAATAATCCACTTTCATTCCGATGGTTCTTTGCAGTAAATTTATACATTTCTACAATATACTGAATTATGATCTCTGAAGACGATTCACTTGCAATTCTTGGTACTTTGTATGTATTATGATTATTGTTTACATGATGTAATTAACTGATGTTAATTAGATATTGTTGTTTTATGCTTAGTCACCAGATCAGCAGAGAGAAACCAAATAAATATACCATTGTTTTAATGGTAGTCGTGTGGAAATCTTTATTGTCTGCGTTGGGTAATTGTGGCGCCCTATACCAACACCCTAAATAGTTGATTGTGGAAACAACTACAAACAGCAAGCTCAGCTTTTGTTGACATTTATTTGTAAATATTAACCTGCATTAAAACCAATTCCATTTAATATTTCTTTATGGTTTACTTTGACAATAAATCATCTAAATCTGTATAGATGTCTGTATAGGATAATAATTGCTATTCATTTTTGTGGCTTACTTTGTACACTAACCCTATATATTGTATATAGGGTCTGTGCTTTGTAGTACAGTTCTACTGTTATCCACTACACAATAGTGTGTAATCATGTATTACAGAGAACTGTATATCATGATCACTCAAGATTTACCCTATGATTAGTTCTTATCAACAAAAAAATAATACCCTGGACCTCAGGGAAGAACAGTGTAAAAATACTGAGTATCCAGAATAAAGAAAGATTTCTAACTAACAAATCAAATATTTGATCATACCTTTCTTAAACATATTTGAAAATGTCTGATGGTTCTCGGCGAACCGGATTACAAAGTAAATACTTAGCTCCACCTCCTCCTCATCTGTGTTCTGATATCATCAAAATAGAAAGAAAAGAGTTTAACAAGTCATCTATTAGGTGTTCCAGATACTCTTTACAATTTATTATTATAATTAATATTGAGACAAAGGAAGTTCCTTCTTGCTCAAAAAAAGAAACAAATATGTTAATAATTATTGTTACAACACCTACAATTGAATTGATTTTAAAATACATTATAAATAAACAAATTAAATAAATGCATTTCAAAATAAAAAAAATAATAATGAAAAAAATTAACGTAATAAAAAAAAATCAGTGTAATCTCCTATTCTAGTTATTTCCTCACCTCTTGTTCTGTTCTACTCTGCAGTACTCTGCTTGTTGTATGATCTTCTTAAAGACTATCAAGGTTTGCAATATTCTTCCTAGAATTCTCAATGTTTGTTCATATTACTTGCTTCAAACTTTTTCATATTCTACCCCTGCATTGCATGGACTCTGCTGCCATTGTTTGATATGCTGAGAAGGAATTCAAAAACTTGACTGGTTGAAAAAGAACCATGTAAAGGACAGACAGAAATATTGGAGTACTTTAACTTTTACACAGATTAATATTAAAGTGCTTTAAATATTTCACACATATTAATATCATTATGATTTACTAAAGTAAGATAGTAATACCCCAGCCCTAAACATATTTTCAAATTTTAATTTTAATCTTCATGATGTGATTCTGTGGGGGCAGGAAGCATCTTAAAAAAAGGGGTGGGGTGGGGCTGATTTTTTTTTAATGCTATGTACTCAAATATTGTATAGTAAAAGTCTGATAAGACATTTTTTGCTCTGATCAGACATTTGAGTGCTATGTACTCAAATATTGTACAGTTTTATACAGCGAATAGGACTGAGATTTGTGTAATATATTTAATATGGACAATAGAAATGTCATTCACATTGTTACCATACCTTTGGTTTTTGTTCAGGAAGCTAGGTTGGAGAAGGCACGAGAAGATCTGCTGATCCAAGCAAGACGGACTGCTGTACATGAGTTGAACAGAATAAGAGGTAATAAAGAAGTCTGTAAACATGCAAATTCCCTATTTCATTTTATTACAACTATTTCATACTATTTTACCTTGGAATAATTTATTTATTTATTTATTTTATATACTGTATGTTTATCTTATAAAAATATCTTGGTTCTCTATTTTTTCATTGCATAGATGCTATTGGCTCTGCAGGTTTAATAATTTAAAAAAATGTTGGTCATAGTGGATTTTGCCTCTATGTTTCAACCATGTTGTTCCGTCCATCCAACACTTATGTTTATATATACTCAACTCTGTGAAGGAATATTCCTTAATTATTTCCACTCGGACAGTCATCATACCAAACACAGTAAAGTTAAAAATATATACCGTACTCGCGCAAATAAGCGCCCGGGCGCTTAAAATATTTTTTTGCACTTTTTGAGGGGCGCTTATTCAAATGGGGTGCTTATTCGAACGGGCCGCTTATAAAAACAGAGTGAAAATTGAGGGGGCGCTTATGGAAATAGATGAAAATTGAGGGGTTCTTATGAGAACTTATTATATCCAAGAGACACATTTTGAATGAAAAACGATTAAATAAGGACATCAGGAAACCGCAAATTACGAATGGTGCTGCGCGGAAAAGATAATCGTCCAGAGAGCATGGCTTGTCATGACAAGAATATTGTGAGTACAGTATTACATAACAGCAGAATAGCAGATGAAATTAGTGGTGGTGGTTAGCTTGTTCGCCATCGGTCGATTGAGAATAGCAGGACGGCATGATCATTGCAGGTTTTCTTGAAAACTTAGATGAGAGTGTGTTAAAGGTGCAAATTGTCAGAAAAGAAGTAGTAGGACTAGGCTATAGACAAATGAAAGTCTAAGAAGATGAAAGTTTGAAATATACTGTCTGTCCAGAGAGCTCTCATCATTCTGTCAAAGATAAATATCTTCACTTTGATATTGACTAAAGGAGAATGTGATTCCACTCCACACCTCAAATCAGGCCAACATCCACAGTCCCAGGATTGATTGGGTTATTGAGGGGGCATTTATTCAAATTAGAAAGGGGCGCTTATTCAAACGGGGCGCTTAAGGAAATTTTTTCGTTATGAGGGGTGCTTATTCGATAGGGGCGCTTATTCAAACGGGACGCTTATTCAAGCGAGTACGGTAAGTGCGGCACTGCAAAATGCCTTACATGCTGCACTGCTAACTGCCATATATGCTGCACTGCTAACTGCCATATATGCTGCACTGCTAACTGCCATACGTGCTGCATGCTGTCATACATGCTGCAATGCTACTACCATACGTGCTGCACTGCTAACCACCACAGATGCTACAGTATCTCACAACTACTGTACCTCATGCACTGCACTAACGACTATCTTACGTTCTGCCTAATATGCTGAGTAATTACATACTGCTTAATATTTAATGCATTATTTACCGATATTCATTCTAAACAAAATTTATCATGAAATTGACAAGGGCAAGCATTCCATAAGGTTTTTAAGGGCCTGGAAAGAAAAAAATTGATTAAAAATCGCTTTTTTTCTCTCATTAGAAACGGGATCAGTTTGAAAAAAACGATTAAAAAAAATTAATTACACTTAATGGATAGTATGTTTGAACAGCAAATAACCAATTTTGTATGTGCACTTTTTAGCAGCAACACAAAAAGCGATTGTCAGGAAATGTGAATTCCAGTTTGAACCAAGATCATATTACGCACGAACTTTCAAAACTATTCATGTCCAAGGCCTACAAGCTAAAACATCAACACACAGGTGGAGCGATGAAATTACTCGTTTTGTAATTATTTTGTAGGAATATATTGGGCCTAGGACTCTCCACTCCTCTTCTGGGCCACCATTTTCCTCTTTCGTTCGCTGTCCAGAATATTTGAATATAAGCATTTGTTACCTTGACAAGGAACAATTTTGATTTGATTTGATTTATTTGATATCAACTGAATAACATCACAAAACCTGAACAACTGAATACAATGAAACAAAATTGAGAAAACAAATCATCAATGTTGATATCTGAGATAACCCTCTAAATCCAAATAAAGTATTTATTTCCAGATGGGTCCCACAATAACTTGAATTGATATACTAAATGGTAGTAAATTTCCAATATATTTTTAAAAATTATTATAGTCATCATGATCGTAAAAAAAACGATTTTGTGTTGTTTCACAATCTTACCCGAGCATTTAATAACAAAGTGTTACAACAAAACTGGGTTAGCATTATGGTAGTGTACAAATGATATATTGTGTAGTACACTAAGTATATTATGTCAATAATCTTCATGGTTGGAGCACAAACAATTTTTTCCCAGGTGTAGTTACAAGTAAAGGAATAAAATAGTAAAAAATAAGTCTACATTATCAAATTTTACATGACAAATTTTTTTGATGTGCCCATATTCGGGCATGATATTGTCATATTACACACAAATATAAACCTATCACAGTTGTTTATCACATATAATTTTGAGTGCGCACAAAGCCAGGAAACAAAATATTCAGCTTACCGATGTATCCAGATTATGTTGTTGGCCCATTCTATCGGCTCTGTTCCCTGCGCATTCAAAAAGTTCCCTGATAAGAAGTAGAATCATTATATTAGCAACAGGGTGAAAGCTACGTTCACACCAAGCCAAGATCCAGTTTGGTGCCTCGACACAAAATCATGAAAAATGGATTCAGTGAAAAAGAATAGTATTTTGAAATCGTATGATAGTTTTTGTTAGACCAATCAGCAACAAGCTTGGTTGGTTCAAACCAATCAAACGCATACGTACTTGACCCCAAAAAAACAACTCTTGTGCGCGATGTGAACACAGTGTTAAATAAAACGTAACAACTCACGATTTTTTGTCTGTGGCACCGGACCGGATCCGGGCTTGATGTGAACTTAATGTAAAGGCCTGTACACACAATGAAGTCCTCAGTGACACCTGATTTGTTAAATATAGATATGATGACATCATCATCATACCCATATATGGCTGCTACTTTTATTTTCACAACATAACCTGGATTGCATCTTCTCCTGAGGAACTCAACCTCTCAGCACCTAATCACATGTGCTAGGGCAAATGTGCCAGACTCTATAGGAAATCCCCGTGTGGGGAGTATATACTCCGTACAAAAGAGTGACCTAAAAATATGTCTGAACGTTTCGAAAAATAATAGGTGATTCCCACGCAGATTTTACCGAAAATAAGGTTTAGACCTAATCTTAATGTATATTATACACATCTAGATGTGTATAAGAGACAGTGTATTATGCAGTAAATACGATTCTGCACACCTATTTTCTTAGTAATCTTCCGCGCAAATTTCAGCTGGTTTTTGAGGTACTGTATAATCCACACAATTAAAAAACTTAAAAGTACGGCAAATGTGTAACCGTTTACTTTGCTCGAGTCAGCTAGGGCTGGACTGTAAAATAAGTGCAGCAAATAATATCCTCCTTGCAAAAAACTAAAAAATTAGGCTAAAAAACTGTCAATGCTATGCAAAAATTTATACAGGAATCAGCCCAAATTTACTGAAAATTCTTTCTCACTAATATAATCAATATATGCAGGAGTTAAGATATTTATTATAGAAATCAACAGTGTTCTTATAATAGAAACATATTTATAAAGGGCCAACAAAAAAAAAAAAAATTCTTGTATTGGCCATGTTTTGGAAAATCAAAAAATTGGGTAGGTTGGTAGGAAGTTTTTTTTTTGTTTTTTTTTGTAGTGTAGTAAAAAAAAAAAACGGAAACAAAAAACTAAAATGCAGAGCCTCAATTTCATACATTTTGGGTCGGTCGGTCGGTCGTGGCCAACACAATTTTTTTTTATTTGGCCTAGTGGAATCCTACCTAGAATAGTGTGCATAGCCATTAAGCTGAATATCATGCAACTGACAAGAATCTCCATGAAAGACGGGTCCACCTGGCAACCTCACCTTGTTCTTGAAGACAAAATAAACAAAAACATCTCAACAATGTCATATGAACACATCCATTTTCTATTTTGAGACACAATTTATATTGCTTCCATTCAATGAAAGCAGTGCAAATTTGGCATCAACAAATATTATTATAGCAATTACATAACTGTTTACATAATACATCTATTGAATGTTTGATACAATGATCTATTGTTGAGCTGATAGCTGCTGAACCTTAACAGTGAACCTTATCATTTTGAAGTTGATGGGCAATCAAGGGAAAAGTCTATTTTTGACAGACCAGAGGAAAAGCAATGATGGGAGTTGAAAAGGATATGTCCCAGGCCGATTCTGGAAATTTTGTTCAATTCTGATACTTATTATGGCTACTATATTTGAATTCAAGTTGCTTCTAGTTTCATTATATTTGGGGCATATATTTCATTTGTGTACTTTACATTGTTTACATGCGTAGATATTGGTAACCTAAGAGGCTTGTGGCCAATAGGTACTTCTGTCACTGCTTCTTCACTACCAGCCAACAACAAGAGTAATTGTAAAACAGCTTTTGTTTCTGTACTAAGATCTGTAGGTAAAGAGGAGATTCCTTTTAATCGATCTGGAAGATAGTAGGCTGGCTACAGTCTCCATATCACCTCGGGGCTATAGGTTTACCGTTTTCCGAAACTAGAGCAGTCATTATTTGTTTTATGCAGTATACATCATACAAAGATTCTAAAAAAATGTAATAAAAAGAGTACCAACCATTTAGGTCTAGGCTTACTTTCTAAGCCTTGGCAATCAAAGGGCCAGTATCTCTCAGCATCAAAGAGGTTGCGACCCCTTTACTCTCATGACTATCATAAATTACATAGTCAGAGTTTTAAGTGGGGCCTAGAAATTATACCGTGACAGGGCAAAAAAGTACTATGTATAATTTAACGTGATAGTTAATAGTTTCTGTGATAAGTTGGCCCTTCTGAAATTAGAAAGAATATTAAACGATGAGTCTCACCCATTAAATGGCTAACTTTAAAAAAAAAATCAGGAACAATTCGAGAAACTACTGTCAAAACAAACCGGTTAAAAAATTCATTCATACTACACATACTGTATGTCAGCTCTACAATAATAAATGCTCTAGATCACTGTCTTAAATTGGTACCATAGTTGTTATAGTCCATTTCATTGTCTTTCTATTTAGTTATTATTAGTTAAGATTTTTGGTGCTAATATTATGTGTAATATTAATATTTTTGTGATATGTAATTTTCATGTATATTTTTTATATATGCGACAATAAAATCTACATTGAAGTTATACCAGCTATTTAACAATCAGATGCCTAGAGTCTATGGATGCCGTATATAATGGTTTCTATCAGAATTAGTTAGAATGAGAATTCGTTTTCTTTGCCAATGTTTGTAAACGAACATTTTGGCCCCCAGGGGTGGGGGCCAGGATTTTACCGATTGGGGAGGCCTACAGTACTACCACAGCGTCACCATGGTTGGGGCTGAGGTAAGAAAATTTATGAGTATGGCACGTCTGGATGGCCGGAAATGGCACTCTTAAGACTCAAAATTTGAGTAGAATTTTTTTTTTCTCAAATTTTTTTTTATTGTGAAATCCCTATACTGTAGTATGCTGCTTCCTTCACTAACCTTCATCTTTTGCAGCAAGCTTTTCAACAAGCTCCTCCAGTCGGCTAGCGCCATCATACAATCGTCTTTCCCTCAATTTGTAAACATTCACCAGCAAGTTCTCATAGACACTAAATTCCCCTTTGTTGCGCACTATTTTGGTTGCACTATGCGGCCCTGGTTGATATCGAAAAAGACTGTTATATGCACATGTCCTCAAACGGCGTTTACACTCTGCAAC